TAGGAGGGACGGCGTCAGGAGCGACGAGGGAGTCGAGGTCGAACGGAGAGGGATTAGGCAAAGCAACAGGGTCAACCAGAAGGGGTCGAACATTGGGATCGAACGACAAAGGGGTAAGATTCGTAAAAAGTCAAACCTTGAATGCGGGCCGTGATTTTCGATCCATGGTTGGCATTTAACCAAAGCAGCGGGACGCCGCTACCCAGACGCTGTCCCAAACGGCCGAAATTCACGGCCGCTCCCCGCACCGCGCTTCAGACGCCGAACCAAACGAACCCTTAGAGACAAAATGCGAAATGAATATAACCATGATCCAGTGACGGACAAAATTAGAGAGTCGTCTTAGATGGTTTGGCCACATTAAACTTATACCATATGATGATCCGATTCGAAGAGTAGATGTTTTAGATTCAACTTATGTTAAGAAATGCAGAGGCAGACCTATAAATACTTGGGAATATTATATAAAAAATAATTTTAATTTATTAGAATTAAATGAAAAAATGACACTCAATAGGACGTAATGGAGAAAAAGGATTTAATGGAGAAAAAGGATTCATGTAACCAACCCCACTTAGTGGGATAAAGGTTTGTTGTTGTTGTGGTTGTTGTACTATACAAAATTGATCCAAAATAGTCCCTCAAAAGATTAGATTGGATTAATTTTTACATTGGCTTGAAACTAAATTGAAAAAATATGTTACTCTGGAAATAAATTTTCCTAATACAAATAGGCATGAGACTATTGAACGTAAAGCTAAAAAACAATATCATTAAAATAATTTGAATATCAATATTAATATATGAAATATGCTCATTTTAAAATATAAATTATCTATAATTCAAACATTTTTATTAAATCAATTGCATAGATAAACCAATATGAAATTGTAGCCTGTTTATTCTAGATAATGCACCAAAACTTAAGCTACTTTCATTGTATGCCTTGTTCAAGAGCCTTATAAAAAAAAATTCTAGGATGTGATTGAATATATTCTCCAAAGTTGGCACAAACCTTGCTCAAGTAATACCCACATAAAGGCCTAATTTCCAAGCTTCAATCGTGATTCAAGATAGAGAGAAAAGAAAAAGAAAAGGCAATGGGAGAAGAAGAAACAGAAAGAAAGGGAATGATTCAGCAATGTCTGAAAATCATCACCTACAACTCGAGCAAAAAGTCCTAGAGAAAAGCGAAGGAAGAAAAGAGTGTTAAAAATTCAACGAAAGCAAGAAATATAATAACCATAACATATTGTGGCGATGATCTTTAGCTGGATTCATTCTTGTTTAACTTATTTTCTCTATCCAACTGCATAGTGCCCATCCTCTCATTATTTACAAATTAAACAGCAAGCTCAACTAAAATTTTAATTTCATTCTTCAGTGCTAACTATCTACTTATTCTTTCCCATTGTAAATGAGTGGAGTCTTCCAAAACAGGGAGCCTACAGCATGCCTTTCATACTATCTATAAAAACCAACATTCATCAACACACCAACTTAACCACAGCAGCTCTATAGAGCAATGAACTAAAATTATTGTAGAAGTTTCAGAATTACAAAAACAAATCCATGACCAACTCCTCTCGATATGTTCATTCAAAGATGCTTTGAAAAAATCTTTATCAAGTAGAAGAAATGAAGGAAAGTAGATTATTTAATGTTTATTTCTCAACTTCTATTGAAAATAAAGTGATAAAACAATAAAGGCATCAGCAGTAACTATAATTTCATTATGATAAGATTTTTTTGGCTGTTATAAAGTACCATCAGCAGTGATACCTAAGCAGCATACAGGGCTCTAGAAAATATATTACTATGAACCAGTGGGAATGTCAGAATGTAAAAAACTTAAAATAAGAACACTGGTTTTAATTACCTGATATTGTCGAATCAGAGGCATGCCTTTCTTCCTCCTCTTTTCATGCCATAATTCTTGAATAGCTTTAATTATATCTAATGAACCAAAGTCTGCCATGAATTCTGCTATTTCATCATCACTCAAGCAATCACTTTGTTTTACATAAGCAACTTTCTCGAACATATCCATCACCCGTTCAAACATGTCATCAGTCACGTCAAGCTTTGTACTGTCATTATCATCCAGCGAGTCTCTAAATTTTGAGATCCACTTTTCATCATCACTATCCATATCATAGAGCACGTGAGAAGGATCCAATGCTGTCTCAACTTCAGTTCCAATCATCTGGTAATACTTTGATGAATTACGAATAAAAGGAACTTCATTAAAACTCTCATCTGAATCATTAATCAGTTGAACACCAGGTATCGGTATATTCTTCACGGAGGCAGCCCTTATATTCTGATTAAAACATTGTCCGTGCATCATTTTGAAAAGCAACCATTGATTCCTATCAGTAAATTCCAAACTCCACTCTTTTCCTCCTTTCCAAATCATAGCATGAGTATAGCGGTTTGGAATACCAGGCTGCAGAACCTGGTGTGCCTTGAATGAGAACTTGGTAAGCCCTGCCAACTTAACAACTATCTTCCAATCCTTCTGATCATCAGAGTCGAGAACAACCTCAGCACCAAGCTCTCTCCATCCTCGATCCTCGGTTGTAATAAGAACATTAGCATGACAAGTTGATGATTCCTGGAAGCTCCTGTGACTCTCCAATCCAACGGAAAGTTTTTTTGGCAAATCAGCTTTGAGCTTTTTATATAGTGAACCTTTTCGGTGATAAATCCTGTTTTTTGATCGAATATCATGACCTCTACTGAGTGCTGGATATGAAATCTGAGTGCGAGGCTTCTTAGTTGTGTTTTGAAACCCACTTTGGATGAAATCTTCTGACCATAGTGTTGATCTAGGGCCCAATATCGGTGAAACCAAAACATGCCGATTGTGATGCCATACACTCTGTGGAGCAGTTGCATCAGGAGTGTGAATAGCATTCTCATTCATTTCCCAAAGTAGATTGGATGCTGAATGAGCATGCTGTGTTAGCCTAGAAAGGGCTCGCTCCTTGGCATTAGTACCTCTTATATTTTGGATGCAAATAGCTTTTGAACTAGAAATGTACCCACCTTCAGACTTCTCTGGAGAAGAAGGATCATCAAGAAACGAAGAGCGCAAATTCTCAGAACCTTGATAAGACCTTGTGTGTTCTGGAAACTTGTGATATGGAACAAAATCACTTGCGTTCTTTCTAACATCACTGTATCCTACAGAGCAGGCACCACCATTAACGTCAATGCTCAAGCAATCATGAGAGGGCTTTAAACAGTCTCCATCATTACTTATAGAGAGAACCTCAGTATTTACTCTCAAGCGAGCAAAACTAGACAATTTGGATTCAGTAGCCGCACTGCTAAAGGAACCAAAATTCTCAAGAGTGATATCCGAAACTTGGTCCGACTCCTCAACAGGGATATAGTTCAACTTGTTTTTAATTTCTTGAGCGTCCTGCTTGTTGAAAGAAGCTATAAATTCAACATCGAAAGCCATGCCAAGGATAAATGGTGAATAGCAAAACAAAGCAAAGACTTAAAAGCATTTGAACTTTCTCCATAGAAGTGGAAAATAGTTCTGAGTTTCTTATTCAAAAAAGCTTGTGTTATACCAAAAATCCCATGAGATGCCTGAAAAAACTTGAGAAACATCATAAAATGAAAAAATAATGTCAGTCAGATAAACTCAAACTCAAAATATCCATATTCAATTTGGTTCATCTTCTTCTCTGGATTAAATAACGTAAAAACTGTTGCTCAAATTTGCCAATAGCATTGGTAGATATTACCTCTCCATAATCACAGTTTGTGAACGCATACATGAATACCTTAAATCCAAGAAGGAAAGCAGAAGCCTGCAATTCTGAGAAAGGAAAATGACATGCAACTAAAGTGCTGCCGAAAGAATTTTTTTTATAAAAGCAAGAAACACATTACCAAGAAAAACAAACATTGAATGAGAAAAAAATCATTTACAATAAATGAAGTCACAAATTACAGTGGTCACCTCGACAATATCTACCTCAACTATGCTTAAAATTATATTGAAAAGTGAACTATTTCAATGTTAAGATAAAATTTGCTCCATCCCAAAAAAAATTGACCAAAAATTAAATAAAAAACATTCAAAATATCTAAAAATATATATAAAGTAAATTCTATAATATCTTCATCTTTTGGGTGCTAGGAGTCCCTCACTCAACCCAGATTTGAAATATCATCAAAAATAACTTTCGCAGCATGGACACGAGTATTTGATGTTACATTCAAATTTTAGGAGCATTCAGTAACCCAGAAAAAAAGAATAAAGACCAAAACTAAGAAAAAAAAAACTTGCTCGGCTCAATCATAAGACTAAAAACAACGTTCAGACAACAAATTAATGATGATCCACTAATTCTTTAGTTCCGAAACGGGGTCTGGCAGTCTAGTTGGTTAGTAATTAGGATAAAATGGAAATTAGAACTGGTCCAACCCAACCCAAACCGAATAGAGTTAATGAGTTTCCTGGTCCATTGATTAAAGAAACAGACAAAACATATACCACCATATTAATGTACGCAATATAATCTCCCATTCTAGAACCAAGCAGCCTGATATTATGCAAATAACAAAATGGAAATAAAAAATGGCAAACAACCAAATGTAAAAGAAGGCTTATAATGAAGAATAAATAATATAGCAGAGACTGATTCATAGAATTTGTAGTACCTCAGCTGAAACTGTCCCCTTACAAGGTCGAACAAGTGTTCCAGCACATCTTATTGATAGACTTTTGGCACGAGCATAAGCACAATCAGCAGGAGACAATTCCTTAAACCTGATACAGTGTTTCATAAGTTTCTTTTCAAGGTATCTCCACCTTGATTTACACTCAATAAAACCATCCACAACAAAATGAAGCTTCCAACTATTGTTGTGCAAGTTTAACATGTTGATTCTAATTTTTTTCAATAGCATGTTCTCAGCTGATGCTGGGCATGGATTTTGATGGCAAAAATTTTCTCTCAATGTCTGGCATAGAAAAGCTGCTGCCCAACTTAAACATCCTTCAAATAAAAAAAGTTTTAGACTCACATCATCCGCAAAACCTACCTCCATCTGTACAAGTGGCAATAATTGTACCAGTTTGTATTTATGAAAAAGAAAGAAGCTTCTGCGCATAAAAAAATTATCAGATCCAAGCAATGTTTGACACCAGCCACAGATTGGTGACCTCGACATTACAGTAAACTTGGTCAGAAAGCGTGGCATGATAGTGATGAAGAGCTCTTTCAGAGCAGACTCTGTCTCGACAACAGAAGCAAGCAAGCTAATAGGCCCACCTGAACCTATATTATCAGAATTCATTTCCATAACATTTCCTGAGTACAAGCTATCCTTTCTGACACGTCTTCTAATATATACAAAAGGTAATTTCCTATTCTCACAGGAATTTAAGTTTTGGGTGCTGCCATCATTAGGTGATCCATCTCCTAAACCCTTGGATGCTATCAAGAATTTTCGTTGGGTCTTTAAAATGCCAAGAGCAGGTCGTCTTTCTTGACGAGCCGATCGAGTCAACCATGAGATGATGGGTTCAGTTTCCACCAAGCCTCCCGTAGAAAGATCATTATTCATGGATCTTTTATGTTCTAGCCTATCCCTCTTTTTCGCTTCTTTTATAGACCTTTCATGATTGAATTTATTAGGTACCTCACTAGGGAAAAGCAAAAGTTTAAATCTCTCATTTTGAAGACTAATCCATTCTTCATCACGGTCATCATATTTTACATGGTGCATCTTTGTTACAGGATCATAATCCTTGACAAGACCAAAGTACCAACACTTATCCAGAGGCCAAAACACTCGAATTCTCTGTTTGACAACCCAATAAGGATCCATGTTATTATAGCATACTTCATAGAAATGACGGCGCTTTCGCACAAAACCTCTGCCGCCATGTTTCCTTGGCCTTAACACTCTACCTGTGCGATTTATCTCCACGCCGGAACCATTTGAATTCCTCTGAGACAGGACCAGGGATGATTCTTTTGCTGCCTTTGGAGGTGTGACCCTGCTATGAGAGAATCCCGCACAACTTGGATCAAACCTGGAGGAAAGCATCCGAGCAGCATTTTGCTCAAGGTTATCTTCATCATCATCTGGAAAAACGCCAACATAATCTTTATTATCCAAAAGATTGGAACCTTGCCCCTTTCTGCCAAGGAACCTCCTTTTGGTAGCCTTGACAGGATTCAAATTACCATCATTCCCTATGCAACTATGAGACCCATTATCAGTGGAACCATCTTCTTTAACTTCTGTCAGCTTTGTCCTCTGAGATCGTGAGAGGGACCGATTATTACTCTGATCAGTGGTACTCCTGGCACTGAAAAAAGCACCAGCTAATTCTCTGTCTGAGTTAAAAGACTGCACATTTTTTTTACGCCGCACAGCTCCACGAGGACGCTTTGTGATAATGACACCACCTTCCAAACAATTTGATCTATTTAAATCAACAGCACTTAATAATTGATTTTCATCCTTTCCCGATGTCAAAGTAAAATCATTGCCAAGGTGATTTGAAATATCACTCACATTTCTCAAACTCCTTACAGCAACACTTGAAGAGCTTGATTTCGTTCCCTTGCCTACACCAGAAACCAACCCATTTGCCTTAAACTCTTTGACACCTGCCCGAAGCTTACCCTTTTCACTGCCCTTAACAAAACTGTTCAAGGAGACCTCCTTCCCATTCCTCTTTCTAAACTTTGAAGAAGTAGTGCCATTTTCTGAAGAAGAACTGCGTTTGCGCTTCAGAACATTTGATTTAGCGGCCGCAGATACAGCCCCATCCTTAGCACGCAATCTAGCAGATGAGCTTGTAGATTTTCCAACAGAAACGCTCATAGAATCCCAAGGCCTGGACTTCCGAAGAACATCTCCCTTCTCAACGCTACGTTCCATCTACAATGACTCAATCCAAGAGAAAGAAACGATAATTCCCAAATTTCATCTTCCATCATACAGGAAAATCGAATGAAAACCATAATTTCGGATCGGAATACAAAATTTCAGCCATGGGATCAACTATTTCTATAAAAATACAGGCACAAAAAATACAGAATCACTTAGAAATCTATTCTCAAAAGATATCCACATGCAACGGACCGATCAAAGGAAAGAATATCAACAACGCGTACCAGTATAGAAACCACCCATAGAAGCTCAGAAAGCCCCAACTGTACACTAGATCCAGACAATAATTCCTTTGGGAAACGACTTCTCGATCCGAATAGGAGCTTTACAGTGTACAAGCCCCTCGATTCACCGGCCTTTTTCGTGGTAATTTTTCTTGACCCGGAAGCGGACGATCTAGGGTTTCGATTTTACGATGCCTCTAGGGTTTGCACCGAAAAAATTGGGGGAAAATAAGCCAGCATCCATGCCTTCGACTGAGCTGAAGCGTCCGTTCGTGATCGGACGGCTGACGTATCATCAGTGACGTTCAAGGGCCTACGTCCCATTAATGGAATCGAAATTTTCGAGGCGGGTGAAGAAAGAATCGACGGTTGAGATAATCCAATACGGACACGTGGACGTGCAAGATGAGCCACCGGGGATGCGCGGGCTGGGCAACACCGGGAGAGGCCAACAGAAATTTTCTGTACCTTAAATCGGTTTTTTTCCGATCGCCTTTTGAGCTTTTTGCCCATTCCGTTGTATCCAATTGCCCTTGGGGTTGAAGGAATTTACGATGCTTTGTATTTTTAAGTTACCACTTCCGCCATTAATGACTTCTGAAATAAAGATAAAAAGCGAAGTTGGTCGGCCGTGGGTTGCGGGAGTAGGTTTATTTGCATAAATTTAAACTTCACGCCCTATACTTCATATCACCCATAATACTTAGATAAGAGGAATAATATCATAATGCAAATTAAAATCTTTCACCCCACCAATTCACATGTTCAACGCTTGTGCTACTTGCAGCTTCGCTACACTTGTAAGATCCAAAAAATATTTTTTTCTTACATTTTTTATTCTCTACTATGATTTCCTTCATTAATCTTCGCCGACTTATCAAATTTTGATCTTTCTTTTCTTCTCTACTATGATTTCCTTCCTTCATTGATCTTCGCCGACTTATCAAATTTTGATCTTTCTTTTCTACAGTTGTTGCCTTTCTTTTTTTTCGCTCGTTTACCGTCGGGGCTATATAGTGAAGGTTGAGCGTGAGCTAGGGCGCCCATCTCCACCTCTCTTCTTCATGTCGGTTTCGTACCCCCCTCCTCTTCATGTCGGCTTCGTACCCCCCTCCCCCCCCAACGGAGTCAGATAGGTAAACAACGGCGGTATCACATATTTCTTCATGTCGGTTTCGTACCCCCCTCCCCCCCACAATAGTCTCGCAAGTGGAGTCAGATAGGTAAACAACGGCGGTATCACATATACTGAGACATAAGACTCTCATCTTCCTCTTCCTTCTACTTTGTTCCTACTTAAAACTATCAAATAAGGTAACCTCGCCTTCCTCCCTCTTGCGCCACAACTTTTCTAAATCCCATGAATCCATAGTGTTTCTTAACTAGGGATTTTATGAAAAAATAGAGGAGAAACAGGATTTAAGAACTATAGCATTTGAAACTCATTTTAATTAATATTAGTTAAGTTCATAATTTATCCCTTTTAAAAATATAATAGCAATCATAATAATTTAATAATAAAAGTAATAATCATAAAAATAGAGGTTGATTTCACTCAATTAAATATAGTAGCAATCATAATATGTTGGTCGATAGAATCCTTTTGGATTTAACTAGCCGAGTTGACGGGCCCACAGAGTGACAACACTAAGAAAATCTTCGGGATTTCTTGGGTTGGTATTTAACCTTTCAGGTTTGGGGGTGTCTATTAAAATTGATTATATGGATATAAATGAAAAACATAATAATAAGAAACTTAATTGCATATTTTCTTATGATATTTGAACATATTTGGTTTATCACAAGTATTAGCTCTTATTTGTTATCCATATTGCTTGCCCCATTCCCCTTGATGTTTCTACATTAATGGATAGTTGTTATTTACTAAGTCTTTCAAATTCATTCTTGAAATTTTTGCATAACAGGTTTTATTCCGCCGTCAGTATGGTCATCTCCGCTAGAGCAAGCGTTTCAGTTATAGTTTCCCTGTTTTAGTATTTTTCCTTAGTATTTGTTTTAGCTATTATTTTTTTCTTTGTTGGGTCTGGGTAGTTATTTCATGTGATCTTGTATGTTTTGATTCAACTAGATTTATATTTTCAGTCCAAGTTGTATCATTGAACTTTTAGAATTAATAAAATTTACATTTCCTTTTTTTTTTCATTTGCAATACAAGTCTTTATTTGAAAATACAAAACATATTCATTTCTTTTCAAAATGCCCTGCATTACCGGGGTGAATTGCCTTCTGGACCCGGGGGTATGTCAGAGTGGTATCAGAGTCTGTGTTTTGTATTTAACTGAGTTTGCATCCTATATCCCTTATCTTCATAAGTTTGGGTGGGGGATATGTTATCCTTGTAAGTCAATTATGCCATCAATTTTAATTTTCTGTATCTTTAAATTGCCTAGAATGGCTCCAAAAAAAAGAGGTGTTGCAGCTGCTCATGGACGAGGAGTTCAGAGGGTTGTTATAATGGATATGCTTGCTTTTAAGGTTCTTCACTCCCCTAATCGTCGTCGTATTGATCTTGTTCAAACCACCGGAACTACTAGAGTACAAAATATCAACTTGGCAACTATCATGGAAGTGGTAACACAGAATGTTACTTAAACGTTACAGGCTAACTTTGCAACCCAAGTTGCATAAGCAGTCCAAGCTATCCAGCAAGCGGTGCAACTACTAGTACAAGTCACTCAAGCAATTCCACTAGCGACTGCCATGGAGATGGCTTCAAGAAAAAAATTTTCCTAAAGACCGTAAGGTGGACATTGAGACATTTCAGTTTTGTGAAAAATAAGATGATTGGTAGGAAGTCACCATCGCAATACTTTTGAACTTGATGTAGTAGTATCCTGGGTGGATTTCGAAAGATTATTGGATTTTGAAAGATTATGCCTGGAATAGTATTTCCCTATTGTAGATCAAGCCCAGCTCGTGAATGGCTTGAAGAGGCTAGAGCAAGGGACAAATAGCGTTTGGAAGTACGAGATGGAATTTACCAGAATCGTCTGTTTTACTGCATCAATTAATCAATATGAAGATCAAAAGATCTGTCACCTATTGGTTAGCTTGAGAAAGCAAATTTTGAGGTTTCTATCGGTGTTCAAGTGCATGACTTACTAAGAACTGGTGGATCGAGCTATTCATGCAAAGATGTAGATAAATGCCTGCGAGGAAAAGCATGTTGGGAAGTGGAATAATTCAGATACACATGTCAATGAGAGTTCCGAAAAGAAGCAGCATCAAAATCACTAAGCGTATAAGTCAAAAATAAATCCTCGATGTGCTCATTAAAGGAAATGACACTCTAGGACTTCTAATCTTGTTCTTGGCAAATGCTTCTTGTTATAATATCAATCATAAAGCTAAGGTTTATCCCCTCAATGTTCAAGGTCAGCCGCAAGCGATAAACATCTAGGGAAATAATTCTAAGTCTCATCGCAATAATAAGTGACACAAGTCAAATAGAGGATAGTTTTAAAAGCATCACGGAAATGGGCAAATGAAGTATAATTAAATACAACCACAATCCCACATCAATGACACCACAATAACACTCAAATATAGACTAAATACAATCTCAATCTCACCTCAATACAAACACAAAACTATAAAACAACATCACAATAACATGAAAACACCAAAAAGAACAACAACAAACACTTCACAGAAACACTGATCGAATAACATCGTAGAACCTTCACAATAACACCCCAATAACACTTAAATAAGAACTAAATACAATCTCAATCCCACCTTAATACATCCACAAAATTACAAAACAACACCATAATAATATCATAGGACCGTTACGATAACACCATAATAACACCACAATAAAACTCAAATATGAACTAAATATAACTTCAATTTAACCTCAATACAATCACAATCTCACAAACATAATCAAAATAACATTAATAGTAAATACCACCAAAACAATATCACCACAAAAAAAAATTTACATTAACACTACAAAATTATCACAAAAACATCAGAAAAGTAACATAATACCATTGATTCAGAGTATAAAGGACATCAAGCAAACATAAATTAACGTCGACATTTCAAACTCAACTAAACTCGCATCCATTTCAAACTTCTGCCCATTATTTTCAGATTTCATTGCCTCCATTTCAAACTTTTAATTTTTTTTTTTCAGTTTTCATCACTTTCATTTCAAACATCTTATCATAATTTCATATTTCATCATTAATATTTCTCGTCCGGCGAGAGAGAGGGACTGAAAAAAATGTTCTGTAAAAGCTCATCCAATGACATTAAAAGAAAATAGAGATTGATTCAATGTGAATGCATTTGTTTTCAAAGCATTGGGTTGGATCAAACCGGGTCGTAAATTAAAATATAGAGCTTTTTATTTTTTATTCAGCGGGTCTGCCGCTCACACTTGGCAATATTGCATTTGATGTCGGACGCATAGCTGCGTTCGGACTCCTGATGCAATACTTTCTTAGAAGAGGGAGAGGGGGTCCAAAGCCTTTCGTAATTTTTATAGGAGGGGGAGGGGAGGTTGGGTGGGTTAGGTTTTTTTAATCTATAATATATTATATTAATAATATAAATTATATTATATAATATATAATATTTATATAACTCTTATTAATATATTATTATTATTATTTTATTATATATTATATGATTTAATTTTTTAAAATATGATCAATTTTGTATTTAAAAAATATTAATTAATTATAATTTGTAACTTTTAATTTTATGAATATATATGATGCGGGCTAAAAAATTCGCACGGGCTAAAAAATGTACACGATAGAGTTACTTATTATCGTCTTAGCATTGCATGAGAATTCAACACACGCTCAGGTAAAAGGAAACAACCAGTAATGTCACCCAAATGTTTTTTATGTGAAAAACTCGTAAAAAGAAAAACCACAAGACCTGGCCAAATTGTAAAAATGCACTATAGGTTGATAATTACAAAAATCTCTTATCCCACTGACGGGAAATAGTTTCTATGTTTTCCAAGTTACAACATTGAATGACGGCTTTTCGTCAATGGCGGTTGATCCCGACCCGCTTGGGTCTATCCTAGTTCCTATGGATGAATTATTTGAAATCTTGAATAGGTAGAACTTGAGTTTAACAATAATGAAGCACTATACACAAGGATTTTCACCCAAGTATACGTATCCTTCAAGTAATATTGGATTAATGAGTCCAGATTATCGATCTCACAAAAAAATTATGTGATTTTACACCTAAGAAAAGTTTTAGCCTACTATAATGAGTCTTAGTCTAAAAGTATAATTGATATAAGTTATGTTTGTTAATCCTACCAAACTATCACTAATTCTATCGAATTACTCCTAAGTTAATTATGCTAAAGCTAATTAAATTGAGAAAGATCAAGATATAAAAGCTACCATTCTCTTACAATGACATAGGTAATGTGTATAGGAATGAAACACTTAGAATATAGATTGTAATTAGTGACAAAAAAGAGCATTCATCTATTTTACCCTCTTTCGAGTGCAAAAAGATTTTTTGTGTTAACTAGATAAGTGTTTTGTCTGTCACTCTATAAACCTCTAAGTTAC